GCTACCTTTCCCAAAGGCAGCCAAGTATCGCGCGAAGGAAGCTCTCGAGCTAGTTCACGGCGACCTCTGCGGGCCGATCACGCCTGCTACATGCGGTGGTCGGCGGTACTTCCTCCTACTCATGGACGATTACAGTCGCTACATGTGGCTGCAACTCCTGACGAGCAAGGACGAAGCGGCGGTGGCGATCAAGAAGTTCAAGACGCGCGCGGAGGCCGAGAGCGGCAAGAAGCTCCGCGTACTGAGGACTGATCGGGGTGGTGAATTCACTTCAGTGGAGTTTGCTACGTACTGCGCGGATCAGGGTGTGGGACAACATCACACCGCGCCGTACTCGCCACAACAGAATGGCGTGGTGGAGCGACGGAACCAGACAGTGGTCGGCATGGCCCGATCCATGATGAAGGCCAAAGGGATGTCGGCAAAGTTCTGGGGAGAGGCGGTGACCACGGTGGTGTTCATCCTCAACCGCGCTCCAACCAAGGCCCTAATGGGCAAGACGCCGTTCGAAGCTTGGTACGGGAGCAAGCCGAACGTGTCATTCCTCCGGACATTCGGTTGCATCGGCCACGTCAGGAAGACGAAGCCGAACCTCACCAAGCTGGAGGATAGGAGCACACCCATGGTGTTCCTAGGCTACGCGGAGGGTACCAAGGCGTACCGGCTCTATGACCCACACGGAGATAAGGTGACTGTCTCGCGCGACGTTGTGTTCAACGAGGAGGCGGCTTGGGACTGGAACAGTCCGAGCATGGGGGAAGCAGGAGGCTTCCCCAACACCTTTGTCATCGAGCACTTCGTCATCCACGGTGGTGGAGACGCTGCGAAATAGGTGCCACGCACTCCAGGAGGAGCGCCGAGCACTCCGGCGGTAGAGTCGAGCACTTCTGGGGCAGTGCCGAGCACTTCAGGAGGGATGCCGAGCACTCCGGGAGGAGTGTCGAGCACTTTTGGAGGGATGCCGAGCACACCAGGAGTGGAGCCAGGAGGTTCTGCAGTGATGGCAACCACTTCAGGACGGGTGCCGAGCACTCCGTGGCGGAGCCAAGACGTCTTACTGTGGTCCCGACCACTCCAAGACTGAGGCTAGGCACTCCTATAGTGTGGCCGAACATTGTAGGAGTTATGACGAGCAGTCCAGAAGCAGTGCCGAGCACTTCGGGTGCTATGCAGGGCACTCCAGCGGAAGAAGGAACTCCATCACCCCCGATCGAGTTCGCCTCACCTCCAAGTGACATTACTGAGTTCGTGGATGCCTACCACGAAGGTGAGGAGTTGAGGTTCCGCAGGCTGGACGACATCGTCGGCTGCACAGGTCCCTCAGGTATGGCGGGTAGGTCGCTCAACGACGAGAGCGCGCTACTCGTCGATGTAGAGGAACCACCCACGTCGCGCGCTAGCCGGTAGCGATGGAAAGCTGGCGACGGGCGATGCTGGAGGAGATGAAGGCGATCGAGGAAAACGAGACTTGGCAGCTCGTCGATCCACCTCTAGGATGCCGTTCGATCACCCTGAAGTGGGTGTACAAAGTCAAAAGGGATGAGCTCGGCGCCATTGTCAAGTACAAGGCGCGCCTCGTCGCCCGAGGCTTTGTCCAGCGCGAGGGCATCGACTTCGAGGAGGTCTTTGTGCCAGTAGCGCGCATGGAGTCGGTCCGTTTGCTACTTGCTTTGGCGGCAGCAAAGGACTGACTTGTCCATCACTTGGATGTTAAATCGGCCTTCCTCAACGGCGAGCTGGCAGAAACGGTCTTCGTCAGGCAACCTCCAGGGTTCGTTGTCAAGGGAGAGGAGCACAGGTGCTCCGATTGCGCAGAAAGCTCTCACGGGCCGCGGCAAGCCCTCGAGCATGGAACGCCAAGCTTGACGCCACGCTGGGCGAGCTTGGGTTTCAAAGGTGCGCAACCGAGCACGCGCTCTACACGCGACGACGGGGGAAGGAAGAGCTCGTGGTCGGCATGTATGTGGATGACTTAATCGTCACCAGCGCGCGCACAGAGGATATCAACAGCTTCAAGCGAGAGATGGAAGCTCGTTTCCGAATGAGCGATCTCGGCGCTCTCTCCTACTACCTTGGCATCGAGGTGAGATAGGGGAAGGAGGAACTCACGCTCGGGCAAAGCGCGTATGCCTCCAAGCTATTAGAGAGGAGCGGCATGGTGGAGTGCAAGCCATGCGTGACTCCGATGGAGGAGCGGCTGAAGCTGACGAAGGACAGCACCGCGGCGAAAGTGGATGCAACACTCTACCGAAGCATCGTCGACGGTCTGCGCTATCTAGTCCACACGAGGCTGGACATTGCGTTCGCCGTGGGCTACGTCAGTCGCTTCATGGAGGATCCCAAAGAGGATCACTGGGCTGCGGTGAAGCGGCTACTACGCTACGTCAATGGGACGGTGAATCATGGAATCATCTTCCCAAAGACCGGCGAGAGTAGGCTGCAACTCACGAGATTCGGCCGATGCGAGACATGGCGGGGACATCGACGGACGACGGAGCACCTCCGGCGCGTTTCGTCTTCCTCGGGTCAGCCCCAATTTCATGGTCGTCGCTAAAAATAGAAGATGGTGGCGCTATTCACGTGCGAGGCGAGTACGAGCGCGCGGCCATAGCGGCGTGCAAGTTGTTGTGTGGCTACGCTGGCCATCGGGCGAAAGCGGTGACGGCGTGGAAGCTCACCCACCAAAGACCGATGGTGGACAACCAACCCGCCATCGCCCTCGCGAAGAATCCGGTTACGCACGACCGGAGTAAACACATCGACGTAAAGTTTCACTTCCTCGGGACGTGTGTTGATGGAGGGCAAATCGTCATCGAGTTAAATTAAACTCGCTTTCGGCAGCTCGCAGACGTCCTCACCAAGCCGCTTTCGGACGACTTCGACTCACATGGAGCTGAAGGAGATGATCGGCATGGAGGGGGTACAAGGGTTAGCAGTAGGATTAAGGGAAGATTGTTAGCTAATCTACTGCCACCTTGTATGAACACAGAGAGAGGAAGGCGGCGGCGCCGACTTAGCCGCTTCTTGTGTGTGAACACAACAAGGAAAGACGGTGCCGACTTTGCCCCTCGCCGTGATACAAAAGAGCAGCTGCAGTGTGAGCGCGCCTGACGGCTCACTGCGGCAAAGATCAGAGGAACAGGCGGTGGCGGCGCAGCAGAGTCGCACTGTCAAAGTTATCTAGTTACTGTGCCAGCATGGACGCTGCACATGGACTAGATAGTTAGAGTTATATAAATAGACATGCATGGCAACTCAGTAAAGAGAGCTCAGATTTGTCATCACACAGACAGGGCCTCGGCCAACGCTGTTGTCTTGTATTATGCGTGCTTGCTCTGTTCTTCCTTCTTCTCCCAACTTCGTCCGTAGTGTGTGGGTACGGACAACGCCGGTACGTGGTCTGCACGGCTAGTGGGTGCTCGGCAACATTAGCGCGTGCTCGGCGAGACCGTCAAGTGCTCCACTTGCCTGAGCCGGTGCTCGGCAAGATCGGCTAGAGTGGTTCACTGTCGTGAGCCGGTGATCCTGTGAGACCAACGGAGTGGTCTAGAGGCTATATGTAGTGGTCTGGAGGCTTTCGAGAGTGGTCTGGAGATCATCTCGGTGGTCTAGAGGCTATCTGTAGTGGTCTGGAGACTATCTGTAGTGGTCGGGAGGCTAATTGTGGGCCAATAAATAGGTGGTCTATTTACCTGTTAGCTCGAACCCAAAACAAGCAGCTTATAAAATTCTTGGTTTTCTTCAGCACTGGAAAATCTTAGCGAAGACGGAGGATGGAGCTCAGCTGGAGAAGGCGTTGCAACATCTTAAAGAAGGGGAAGGATGGTGAAGATAACTAGAGTTTTCTTCCTTTCTAGTTTCTTTTGCTGTTCTTAGCTTCCTGTTTCTTTCAGTCTATCTAGACAGTGGAGTGGGTTTCTGGAGGAGAGTTGTAGCCTCTTCTGATGTATGGGAGGCCTGGAGCCCTGAACTTTGTATGGGTGTTGGTATCCCAGCCTAACATTTGCTTTCAATAGAAGCTGGACCAAACGGTTTTTTGTCTAGGAAAGCTGGCCAAACTTATAAGTTATGAACTCTTAGTCAGCTAACTATTACTCTTCCGTCTCTGAATAAATTAACTTCTAAAGACGTCTTAAATTCAAATTTTAATGTTTAACTGAATTATATTTATAACACCAAACTAGTATCATTAAATGCACAATAAAACACATTTCCATATTGTGCTTGTTTAATGTCATAAATATTGATGCTCTTTTTACATAAGTTCGGTTAAACTTAAAAATGTTATTTAGGGACAGAGGTAATATTAAGCTTTGGAAAAATCTGATAGCACAAAGTTAGTGCGCATGGTCGCAGAAAACTCTTTTGAATTTGATTTGTATTACAATTCTCATAGACGTGTGTTGGTACTATTCCTCTCATTATTAAACTTATTACAACACCAATCTTGTGAAAAGAAATCTGTGTCAAATTTGCATCGATAATATACCAGATAACATATATCAGTACAAAAATGGGGATACACTTTACATGCCTTCTCCTGTACAGCTAGAGCTCTTACAGACGACCCTCTTTGGCAAGACTTTTATTGGATCACTGACTTAATCAAAGGTCGTACCAAATAAGCACAAATCAAAATGGCTTCTAAAACTAAAACTAAGATAAAAAGAGTAAAGCCGAAGCCGTTTTGGAACTAGAAGTCGAACCCACTAAAATATGGCTTCGCCTTGCTTCTCACTTTTCGGAGAAGTTCAGGCCCTTTAAAGAGGACCCTACGCGAAGCGTGAAAAGATGATCCGGTAAAGAGCAGGTGTCTCCGGCAAGAAAATGACGTAAAAAGTTGCTTCTCACGGACGATGGTGAGTTGGTGACCCCACTGCGAGACAGCGGCAAGCCCTAGTAGTAGGTAAAAATAGACTGTAATTTCATCAGAGGATAAGATTATCTGCTCTCAATATTTCGCGCAGCTTCTGAATCTTCAGACACGGTAAGCAAGCTACTCAAGTCGATCGCTGAGGAGAAATCTTCAAGTCGATTCCTAGGCTCATGCCATTGTAGGCGATGGGTGCGTACATCCACATCTCATCAGAACTCAGCATCTGCTCAGGACAGAGTTATCTGTTAAGACACAGATTTCAAGCACAAAGCACCTGGATAGATAAAAGCGTGTCTGTTTATAACTACCTTGATCTGCTGCTGCAGGAACCTGACGTAGTGAACTGCCTCCTCCAGCATGGTGCTGATGTCGACCTGCAACAATGTGTTTCAGGACAGTTAGCAAATAGCCAAATACTACCTGCAACACTAATAGCAATCAGTCTTTCAAAAGGAATGCTAGTGTAGTGTCTTTCCAAAAAAAAAAAAAAAAAAAAAAAAAGAAAGAAAGAAAGAAAAGAACACTAATAGCAGCGATGTACATAGCACAGATCAGAAGATGGCCAATTACTTTGGTTCCATTCGGCACCAGTTTCTGCAGAATCTTGAGACTCTCATTGATCCTTTCCCTTCTTCTCTTCTGCAATCCAAAGAACAGAACGCTGAATCAATAATTGTGAGTCGACTAGAACGATAGTGTTCAATGACCAATCTGCACGGTATGTTGCACTCAGCTCACCCTTGCGTAGAGGCTCTGGGGATCGGTCGCCGACCCTTTGGCTGCCCGGGCCTTAGCATTGCCGCCGCCGCCGTGAGCCCCCAAGCGGCGGTTCACGTCGGTGCAATTGGACTCGTCGCCCGAACAGCTGCCTCTGCTTTGTTGCGAACTCTCCTGACTACACTTCTGCGACGTTTTGGGTGCAGCTTTCTTTTCATGCTTCTACGTTCACAGCCACAGGGGCCAAATTTAGCATCGCCACATCACAACAAAACCAAAGATCGTAGACAGAAACATTGTTTACGTACATTAGCCGAAGCGCGACTCTTCTTCTTGTGCCGTCCAAGATCTTCTCCGTCCCGGCCGGCCTGGACCTTCCGCTTCGGCTGCGGCGAAGGGTCGGGTGGGATCGGGTTGTCGACGCACGCGCTCCTCTCCCCCCCGTCCCCGAGAAGGTTGAGGTCAATGGAGGGCGAGCATGGCAGCGTCGCGAGCGTGTTGATCCCGATAGACACGTCCGGCTCGGCGAGGTCGTAGTAGCAGCAGCAGCCGCTGCTATCGAAGAAGTACGCCCCGGTGCCGGCGCCGCTGGCGCTGCTGTTGCTGTTGCTGGTGTCGGCGGCGCCGGGTCCAGTGACCGTGACGTGGCACGGCTCTGGCCAGTACGTGGCGCTGGTGGTGGCACTGACCACGCCCAGCTCGTCGTTCTGGTACGGGTACGGGTACGGGTACGGCGCCGCCAGGAACTGCGCCACGATCTCCGACTCCTCGTCCCGCGCCGGCGCCGGCGCCGCCTGGTACTGCGAGCACCAGTGCGCGTCTCGGGACTCTAGCCAGGCGGCCAGCTCGGCTTGCGACATTGTGCGAGGACGGACCGACCGATCGAGGTGCAAGCAACTGTGTGTGTAAGTACAGTAAGCACTAAGGAGAGCAGGAGTGACTGATCGAGAGTTGGTCTTGGTTGAATGCACGTATGTGGATGGCTGGATGGCATCAGGCCAATGGGTATTTGAATGGCGATGGTGACAAAAACCTAAGAGTTTCTAATACAGCTCAGGTAGCTGGCTAGGTGTGATTCGAGGAGAGTGTTTGCTTAGAAAAATCTGAACAAGTTTCAGACATAAAAAAAAACACGCTGGTGGTGCTTCACCGAGGATGGGGACAATAGTGGTCAAGATACGCGGAATGCCGGAATGGTTCTGATTCGGGAATAATTGGCTTGTTTAGAGGACCTGAAAAATGATCGGTTTGACCCCCCAAAAAAAGAGCCAAGCAAACTGGCAGTTTGTATTGCAGAAATGCCGGAAAAATTAGGGCGAACAGATCGTGGCGGCAAGTAATCTGAAAAAGGAAATGGAGACAGCTGCATGGTGAATTGGTGATCGTGATGCCTCATTTACATCCGCATAAATTAAACTGCACATATTAACTGGCCACTCTCTATTTCCTTGATCTGAGAAAAAACAACATTTGTCTAACAGCTGTGAGCAGGCACTGAATTCTTCGAAAGTCATGTTTTGTGCTCGACATGATCTCCATAGATGTCTCTCCATTTGTTTTCCGAACATCAATCTACGAATGCCAAATCCATACCCATACCCATACCATTAGTTCACGCACGCAAAATCAGAACCTGGATTGGCCAGAGCCGTCCAGGCTTGAACTTGGTTTGGCAAGAATTCTAACAAAACCTACATTTATATTTTTTCTACGATAATAAAAGCTTTTATTGAGTTTTGAAGAGCATTACATCAAGGTAGTACAAGTTTTTGAAAAGGGCGTGGCTAGCGCCCGTACGTCCGGACACTCACGCCGCTGCCCCCTGTCTCGCGTCCCGCGTCTACCCGCCCACGTCTCGCCTGCTGCGCCCGCCCGCAAGCACGTGGGACCCGCCAGCACCAGTGGGACCCGCCTCCGCCTTCCCGCGCCTAACACTGAGGCGAGACCACAGAGAGACGAGGAGGGAGATGCAACACCCGATCTAGTTTTGAAATATCCTGATGCAACAATTGCAACATCGTCGGAAAACAAATGTAACATTTGAAACATGCGTCTGAAACACTTGCAAAAATACCTGAAAACACTTGAAACCATTGTAAACATACGCAATATCCAGATAAAACACTTCATCGTATGTGTGAAAACATATGCAACATCCAGATAAACACACTTGCAACATACGTCGAGAAAAAATAAATGAAACATTGAGACTCCGAGGAGTATCCCACGAAGGTAGATTGATCGGCAGAGATGCGTGTAATCGAGAACAAGAAGGCAACAGAGACACACGAGTTAGACAGGTTCGAGCCGTCAGCGCGACGTAATACCCTACTCCTGTATTCTGTCGGATTGTATTTGCTATCGTATGATATTGCGTGTGTTTGGAGAGGGTTCCTGCACGCCTTATATAGTCCGGAGGATAGGGTTACAAGTCGGTTAGATCTAGAAGATAACCAAAAAGTAATAACAGATTACAGAAATCATGGGATCATACGTATCCTAACAGATCTCGTAGTATTTTCAGGATATCTTCCCGGTGTCTTGCGGGACGCGCCGAGTAGCGCCATGCTCCGCAAGGCTTCGTCTTGTGGACTGGGCCGTCCCTGGGGGCGCAACCCATGTGGTCTGCCATGGGTATCCGGGGTCGTACCCCCACAGCTAATCCCCGAGCGCCTTGTATCCGTTGTGCAACGCCGTCTTGAGCTTGTCCGAGCAGATGCGAACAAAGCCGAGCAGTCAAACTCATGGTTCGACCACCGTGATGAGTTGCTGAGCAGTTGTGAATCGTCGCCGAGCAACGTGAACCGTCGCCGAGTAGCGTATCCCAAGTTAGGCTTGCCATAAGGATGTAAGGAGCTTAAGTTCAAAATTGAAAATTTCCTCGCAGTGGACCAAGTGTGCTCACTTAGAGTCCGACCACGAGATATGGAGATAGTCTTCTTCAGCTTCGGGAGGTGTGGAGTCTTCCAGATTAAAGCAAACACACTCACCGCGAGGTGATGTGTGCCCACTTAGTCCCCGAGCCTGACAGTAGGTGACGTAGTCACGTGGTGCCAGGGTCCAAAATAGAAGAATAGCATAAGACCAGCCAAGCAGGCAGCCAGTCCCCGGGCGTAGCCCAAAAATGAGAAAAATACATTCACCGCAAGGTGAAGTGTGCCCACCTGGTCCCCGAGCCTGATAGTAGGTGACGTGGTCACGTGGTGCTAGGGTCAGAAACAGTAAACAGAAGAAAGTCCCCAGTGCGGTGAGGAACCAAGTCATATTGATGACGCAGTCCCCGAGCCACAACTGGAAACCTTGGAGAAAACAAATCGCGGAGAAAACACCGGAGTAACGGCTATATAGTAGTAATTACTGAGCTGTAACGGATGGCGGAGAAGTCGGCGAATATTCAGTGAGCAGTAACAAATTACGGTGATAAATGGGCGATATGGGTTGCAGTTGCGCGAAAGCCTAGGTAACGGCCCACCACGCTGTTGCGGAGAATTCGGAGGGGCGCAAATCGTGGAGCGGTTTCCCAAAAACCCTCGAATGCGAAAGGTGGGGGAGTGCTTTATAACTGAGCTGCCACACCCCGTGCTCTCACCTTTGCCACTTTGCCATTTCATTTTCCTCCTCAGCCCTCGTACTTCTAGATTCACACGTGCTTCCGCCGCCAATCCCAAACCAGATCTGTGAGATGGCGCCGAAGAGGGGAGCTGGAAACCCGAAGAAGGCGACTGCCGAAGCCAGCCATGATACTGAGTGGGTGCCGTCAAACATGGGAGAGGCGGAGATCAATAGGACGGTGGAGGCGGGCATCCTTTCTGACCGTGTCACCGCTGGATGGTGGCTAGCCAGCGGTGAGCCCATCCCGATGCCGCATACTGACGAAGTAGTAATTTTTGAAGATTATTTCTGGCGCGGGTTAGGGTTTCGCGTTCATCCTTTCCTGAGGGACCTGTTGGAGTTCTAGAGAGTGAGTCTGTGCAATCTCCATCCAAACACTATCTTGCTAATCTCCATTTTCATCCACTTCTGTGAGGCGTTTCTCAGAGTTTTTCCCCACTTCAACCTCTTCCGTCATCTGTTCTGGCTGAAGAAGAAAGGTGGCGGCGGATCCAAGGTGGTCGGCGGCATTTATCTTTAGCTCCGCAATGGAATGGCGGGCGAGTACATCACTGTACCGCTGAACACCTCGCTGAAGGGGTGGAACGCCAGATGGTTCTACATGAAGCAGAGCCACCCCGCCATCCGCTGCGATGTCGAAGAAGCCGAGCAGTGCTGACATGGAGCAGGTGAGGGAGCTCCTGGGCCTAATAAAGGGCGTGAGGATGAACGCCGGATTGGTGGCGGCGAGCTTCATAGTGCGCCACGTCCAGCCCTGCAAGGAGAGGGCCCACGCGGGTTTTGACTTCAAGGGGGACACCGACGGCACCCGGGAGAGGACGGAAAGGCTGACAAAGGATGATGTGCTAGAGCGGGCCGAAGGGCTATTCGCTCCAAATGCCTCGTTCAGCGTGTTAGGGAAGACGAGAGCCTTTAACTGCACGAATCCGCCTCCTCAAGTAAACATCTCAATTATTTGTTCCTGATGCTATTTATCCTTTAACGTTTCTGAGCAGTGACCTGATTCACTTATGGAAAGATCCATTTGTAGGAAAGAGTGGCGTACTTCTCGGACGTGCCGAGGGCAGTGGACGCCCAGCCAACAACGTAGCCTGAGGAAGGAGCCGTCAGCGCCTCGTTGAAGTCCGAAGGCGCAGATGCTGGCCGAACGGAGAGTGCCCCCCCAGTGTCGGAGAAGGTCCAGGGGAAGAGGGTAGCGGCAGATGAGCCGGCCCGGAAGAAGAGGAAGACAGCGGGTGCCGCTCCTCACAAGCCGGGCGGCATCTCGCTTGGCGGTGACCAGACCACTCAGACGTAGAGTACGGCGGTGTCCGAGTGGTCGGATGACGATGGGGCTCCAGTAGCTCCTCCTCCGAGCACTAAAGCGCCTCTACGCAACACGCACATGGAGGAGCAATCGAAGGGAGGGGAGGGAGTCCCCGAGCGACCTGCGAAGGGAGTCCTGGAGCGACAGGCGGAGGAGAGGCCGATGGCGAAGACCGCGACACCTCCTCCCCAAGGCATGCGAGTCGACCCCAGGGCCACGCCTGGGGGCTCGGGTAGGCAGTGCCGGTTTAGGAAACTATACCGAGAGGCTGACACGTAAGTATCCTAGCCTTGGACTTATTTTGATGTCGTATCTTTATCTCTTTTGGCGATTGATGAACTAATCTGATGTAGAGCGAGGCGTATGGAGGATTTGAATACATTTGTCTAGACCGGCGAGCGGCTGGGGGCTGGTCCCAGCGTAGAAGCAGCGCCAGCAGACCCTGTCTCAGAGTCCCCGGGTGCTCGGTGGCCAGCGGATGAGTCAGTCGCAGCTGCTGATGAACTTTGTGGCAGAGAACGGTTGGCGTCGACGGCGAACGAACCAGCAGTGGTGCCTGGGGCAATGGTAGGAGCCGCCGTGTCCTTGGGAGCGAAGGCTGGAGTTGCCAACGAAGTGTCGGAGTTCAGAGCGGAGAGGCCTGCGGTGCTAGAGGAGCAGACGGCGCTCCCTGAGGCGTCGGAGGGTGTGGTCAGACACGCTGTGCGGCCACCAAGCCCCTGGTGGTGCTGCCAACTACGGAGGAGGAGGACGAGGTGGAAGAGATCGAACATGAGGAATCGCGACCCCAAGCTGTCCGAATCCTCCGCAAGTGGGGCGATGAAGTGGTGGTTGTTTAGGAGGAGGACACCACCAGGGAGCTCAAGAGGCTGGAGTCCACCCTTTCGACGGTGATGAAGCAGATCAAGGTTAGCATTGCATCATCAATGTTCATCTTTGACG